ATCCATTGGCCGGAAGCTGTTGATCGGCATGCGCCCCCCTAGTGGCAGAAGTATATATATATATAGTATATGCGTGATTTTGCACAGAACGTCTGCCCTGTAGCAGTAAATCTGCTATAGGGCAGACAGCAAGTGGTTAAAAGTTTTTTGTATGATTATTATTTATTTATTTACACTTTTAAAATTTTTTCTCGTTTAGCTTTATTGCTATCCTAAGGGGTGAACAAGCCCCCTGTGCTAGTTTTGGACAAGTGACAGGTCCTCTTTATGGGAGACAACAGGGGTCTACAAGGCCCCCAATGTCTCCCTTACCCTTAAAAGCATTGATAAAACACAGATCGTGTTTGATCAGATTTTTCCCTGGTTGTATTGGCCAGAGGAGATTAGGGAACGAGGTTCCTCCACATCCTCTGTGCACAGTCTACTCGACTGCTTACATCAGTCCTGAGCTCCCTGGTGGAACAAGAAAGCTAGGGAGGGGTCCCTCTTCTGAGTACAGTAAAAGTGATTGGGTGGCTGTAAAGCCGATCTATTTTTTTTACTAGAAAGTCCATAACCGGCAATAAAAATGGTAACAAGATCATGACTGCGTCAGCATAGGTATAACCACTTGCTTCTAAGGACGCATACACAGGGCATAAGGGCACATACACAAGGCCTCTGGGCAGGAAGCAGTGAACTATCATCTAGCTGTACCACTCAATAGACTAAGGAAAAAGGTTTTTACAGTGAGTGCAAAAATCAAGCTGGTCTACAAAGGAATGGCCAAAAAGCTTATTTTTCCAAAAAGCAAATTAGTACCGCACAGTTCTCAACTTTATACGGTGACAAAGAAAGATGTCTTTCATAGTTAATGCCCATGCCACATTGGCACTGTCACAGGAATTGAAAGACTACCAATATTGTTCTTTATGCACAAAACAGACATTTTCTGTTTACAGACATAATAGTACACTGTCATCTTGTTCCTAACGCTGTTTCCATGTCTTTTCCTGTCCATAAACATAGGGCATAAGGGAGGAATAACAGGACAGCAGGGGCAACTATGGTTTTCTCTGCATTGTTAGATGATCTCTTCATACTAGGCTGGCATAAAAGGGATTCCGAAATAAAAGAAAAATGTATCTTGCAGTGCTTTTCCCTTAAGCTTTTATGTAGTGCTATTACTGCTTGCCCTGTATAGAAAGGTTGTCTGACAATCTTCAGGAAATTACAGTTCTCTCTGTTGCCCTATTCTGCTTTCTGGATTTTTTATTTAAAAAATAGGTAAAAAGAAGAGGGAACAAAAGAGGTTCTGAACGAACAAGCTGGCATTACTACATAGCAGCTTCAAAGACTTTTAAGTGGTCTCTTGTAACGAGAGCTGTATAAGAGGCATTTAAATATTATATGGTTTCTTGTTTAAATGGTTTCTTTTTCTCCCATTAAACAATAAAGACATTACCAAAAAAATGAATTATTGAATCCTACAAGTCATTTTGGCAAAATGAACACCAAGAATGACAGTTCACACAGTACATTACAGATCGATTTTTACCTGTCATATTTATGGTGTGCAGAAGGCTTGTCTTTTTAGGGTAACTGCCACCGCATATTCTAGTCATGCTTTGCTGGGTTTTTTTTTTCCTTTCTCTGGGTCAACTGTGGGTATAGGATTATAATTTTTTTTTTTTTCATTTTTTTTTAATGGTTGAACTGGATGGACTTTTGTCTTTTTTTAGCCAGACTAACTATGTAACTTTGACACCAAAATGGAGAAAGCTCACAGTGCCTGTATTGATACCAAGCAAACAGCAAATAACCCTTTCTCCTTTCCCAACACATGTACTTCTTACATACCCTTCTCCACTTTTCCCAGGACACTTAGGTCATGTAAAGCAGTGTGCCTTGTTCTCTTCCTGTCTTTCTTAAGGTGCATGCTGACACTAGACAGTGGCTACCATGCACTCTCCACCCAGGAAACAATAAGTTAATACATCTATAATATAAATCAAGTTTTCATCATGGATCTTGCACAAATATTGCAAAAGTTTTCGTAGCCTCAATGCCCTAGGCCAGGGGTAGGCAACCGGCGGCTCTCCAGCTGTTGCAGGACTACAAGATCCATCATGCCTCTGCAAGTCATAGCTGTAACTGTGAGTTTTGTAATGTTGCAATGCCTCATGGTAATGTAGTTCCACAACAGCTAAAGAGCCGCAGGTTGCCTACCCCTGCCCTAGGCCACAGCCTGTATGGTCTTCCTTTAGGCCTTGTTTAGACTTGTGGTTGGAGGGCAGCAAAAATGTGCGGTTGAGCCCTGTTTTTGATGCCAGCCAACCGCCCCCACTTTAAGCTGCAATAGGCAGCGGACGGGTATGTTTACATGCCGTGGCCATGATGCTTCACTTCACGGCTGTGGCTAAGTTGACCCGACATGTATCACTCGGTGGGCAGCAACGCTACTCAGTCAATAGGTTAGCACCACAAATGCCCCTCAACTGCGTGCAGTGCACACGGTTGCGGCATTATTGTAAAAAATTGCGTTAAAACAGGCAGTGAGGATGCGTCTGAAGCACGATCCTAATGCAGAAGAGAGATTTAGATGCACTTGGCTTCAAACCCTCCTTTCTTAAACTCTGACTAGTGTTCAATATATTTAAAGCATAACTAAAGGCAAAACTTTTTTTTTCAGTTGTGGATAGTGTAGTGGGATTAGCACACTTGTCAGTTTTTATTGCTGTCTGTGCTCCACTCTATTTGTCCTCTTTACCTTCATTGCTGAAAGTGAAAGTAAAAGAAAATCCCAAATTTTGGGTTGTCCCCAGAAAAGTAATGGAGGGTAAATCTTTCATAGGGGACATTAGTTCTGGTGACCTGGGGTCCCCAAGAACTTTCCTTAGAGCCGGTTCACAAATATGCGAGTCGAATGCATTTTGAATCGCATCCAATTCGCATGACGTGAAAGAACATTGCTTTCTGTTGTGGCCTTTCACATATGTCCAGTGCAGCTGGAGTGCAGGTTCAGTGCAAATTCAGAAAGGATTCTGTACAGTTTCTGAGCAGTTCAGGTGCGAATTCAGGTGATTGACTTCTTTGGGAACTGCTTCTAAACTTCACGTGTCATTAGTTTGTGAACACGATTTTAGCTTAGTTTTCTCTCTTCAAATCCTGAACCGCATTTGAAGTGGCCCTGAACTGCTGAATAACTACTTTAAATTCGCACTGAAGCCAGAGCTCAAAACCTAATGTGAATCCACTCTTAACCCCAGAGGATTTACCCCCCTTCCTGACCATATTTTATGTTACAGCGCTGTGTTACTTTAACTGACAATTGTGCAGTCATGCAACGCTGCACCCAAATGAAAATGATGTCCCTTTTTCCCACAAATGGAGCTTTCTTTTGTTGGTATTGATCGCCTCTGCGTTTTTTATTTTTTATGCTATAAACAAAAAAAGACTGACAGTTTTGAAAAAAGAATACTATTTTTGACTTTTTGGTGTAAAATATCAAATTTCATCATAAATTTAGGCCAAAATGTATTCTGCTACATGTCTTTACTAAAAAAAAATCCAAACGTGTAAATGAATTTGTTTACATGAAAGTTGTAGCATCTACAAATGGCGATATATATACTGTTTTTTGTTGTTGTTTTTTTTAATACTAGTAATGGCGGCGATCAGCGACTTATTGCGGCACTGCAGTGGGCATTTTGACCCTAGGGGGGAACTGACTAACTGCCACTGACATCCCCAGTGACACTAATACAGTGATCAGTACTAATAGAAAGCACTGACACTGTACTAATGACACTGGGCAGGAAGGGGTTAACATCTGGGGCAATCAAAGGGTTAACTGTGTGCTGTTTTACTAACTGTGCTGTGTGTGATTTACTGTGTAAGCACGCTGCTTTGTATTGCTCTACTATGCAGAGCAATACAAAGCAGCATGCTGATGCTGACATTGGAGAGATCTCTATTGTTTACATACAAACCTCTGCCCTGTCAGTGTTCCTCAGCGATCGCCGGGTGGCGGCGGGGAATCTCCAGCCGGGATCTGGTGATCGACAGCTGTAGCCGGAAATGCAAAATCGCATATATATATATACTGTATATATATATATATACGTGATTTTGCACAGCCCTGCTGCCCTGTAGCAGTATTTCTGCTATAGGGCAATTGGGAAGTTGTTAATTTGCTGGGTTTCCTCTCACTTCCTGTTTGGCTATAGGACAGGAAGTGAAGGGAAATCTCCTCAATGGGACACAGATGGTGAAAAGAAAAATCTGATGGGTTAAAAGTTTTGCCTATAGTTCTACTTTAAAGCTTAATTAAACCACAGTCGATTTGCAAAACAAAAAGTGCACATAAATAGGGTTGGAAATGTAAGCAGTGTCGTTTTTTGATGCAAGTTTTAGGTCAGGAATGCCAAACCAGTAAAGAACATACAAGCCAGGCTGCCCATACTAGCTTTCAGCAGGCACTTCAAAAGTGCTGCAGAACACAGGCTTTTATCGGCAACAAGAGAAAAGGATTTAAAAAAAGGGAGATGGGAGAAACTAAATCGTGTTTTAAGGGGTGTTGGCTTCAAGGCTTTCGTGATTTACTCACCCTGTTTTAAAGGACTTTGTGAGTTGTGAGGATGTAATTGTAAATGCTTTCTTACCAGTAAGGCCTTGCTTCTCCTGTATCAGTTTCCACATGATTAAACCTTTGATTAAACCTTTGCAAGAATTTGAGTTGTTACTGTTAAATCATTATACAAGGTGTCCCTAAAATCTGGACACAGAAAATATCACTAACTATATGTTTCTTTCTCAGTATGCATTTTGCCCATGTGTTCAGACTTTAGAGACACCCTGCAGTTCTTAGAATAATTTATGAAAGAAGTATTTAAATGTTTTTACTTTGTCTGAAGATTATTATATTCTTTAGACCTGAAGCTGGCATTTCTCTGAGGATTAAAGTGGTACTAATCCCAGGACCCTGGATTCACTATAGCTGGTCTCTCACAGTACACAGAACACAGAAATGCAATTATTTTAGTAAATATAAACTGCTAAATACCTTTTATCATCAGCAATTAGAGCAGTCTTATGACTTCTATCAGTGTTCAGCTGAGCACTGGTTGAAGCTTATAGGAGGACTTTTCTTTCTGCTCTAGGAGGATGCAGAAACCCTGACCTCTGTCTGGACAGTGCTGCTTGGCCCTATGCTGATCACATGCACTCTCCCAAGAAAAAAAAAACCTCTCTAGCAATACATACCAAACTGAGCATGTGCAGAGTGTCTCCGCACAATATGTCTTATCAGGAGATAAGAGGGGGAACACTGGAAGAAGAAGAGGATCAGAGAAGTCAGGATCAAACAGCATTTTTACACATTGCAGAGTATTAAACCCCTTAGGTTCCACAGTGATTATAAAAAGCATGCTTTACTGCATATACATACTGAATTTACTGTTGTGGGTTTAGTAACACTTTAACATTTACTGCGTTGTCTATTACCTACATTCATGCTGAGAAACAAATGCATGCTAACCCCAGAGTGTACAGGACAGAATAAAAAAAAAAAAGTCACATCGTTTACAAGTACATTTCCTTTTAACTACGTGAATTTCCTTTGTTTCTAACATACGCTCTCAAAACGTTTTGTTCCTTTCTTATTTCATTTTGCAGTAAAGTTCAATTTCAACATTGCCATTTCCATTATGTTCATCAATTTGATGGATCACATCCATACTTTTTTACAGCATAAATTTGTTTCCGTTAAGTGGAGTTTCAGTTTCCCTAAAAAATTAAACATCAGCAGCTATAAATACTGTAGTTGCTGACTTTAAAAGAGGATACTTACCTGTCCAGGAAACCAGCGCCGTCTTCATTCGGGACAGTTCTTCGCCAGACTTTGGTTCCCCGGCACCAACATGTTTACTAAGGGAATCTGGCTTTGACTCCTTGGGGCTTCACAGCAGGCATCCCACTGTGCATATGTAGTTGTGCTTCACTTTGTGAATGGTCCCTCAGCCTTCTAGGACCTGTGACATGTCCCTGAATGTTGCTTGCAAATGGGCACAAACTTCGGATCGGAGCATTTTTTTTAATTTTGGATAATGTAAGGGAGGGTTATAACCCCTGTCAGTTCTTTTGCCATCTCTGTCCCATTGGGGAGATTATCCTTCACATTCTGTCCCAAAGCCAAAAGAGAAATGGAAGTGGCAGGAAATCCCTCCAAAGTGAGGGAATCCCTGGTTGTCCAATGTGTGCCAGTGTGCCAATTCATTGATTTTTCCCTTTATTACTGTTCTGGGAACAACCCAACATTTGGGATATTTATGATTTTTTTTCACTTTCTGTGATAACAGTAAACATGACAAATAGAGAGGATAAATCTCCCCAACAGGAGACAACAAGAAAAAACAAGACAATGTTCTAATATATCTCTACCCTGTCCAAAGCTAAACAAAAAGTTTTGCCTTTAGTTATACTTAAAATTTTAAGCCTTCATCAGAATGGTTTGGGGTGTAGAGATAAAAAGTTATATGAACTTTTAAGGTCTTTGGTCAATGAAAATATTTTTTAAAGGTTTACAGGTTTACAAAGTGTTCTGAAAAGAACTCAGCATAGAATAAAAAACTGATGAAAACTTGCGGTCAGCTGTCTCCTGCACTCGCTGGCTATATGCAATAAACATAAAATATTCTTTTGCAATATTAAAATTTATTATACACAGCAATACCACAGATACAATAAATCTGCCTTTAGAGTAGGTCAGTGTTTCTCAACCCTTTTTTCGTTCAACGCACCCTTTAAAATTCTGGATAATCACAAGGCACCCTTTAAAATTCTGCACAATCTCAAGGTACCCCAGTCTAAAATGTAAGAAACTATTCTACACACATCCAGTACATTGAACATTAGAGGTGGTTTATTCTTCCAAAGCAGATACACCTTTGCACACTGGTACTGACCAGTATTCCAGTGTGTCTCTCATTTTCTCTCCCTCACTCTGCTAATGTGACCCCAGTACTGACGGAGAGGGGCAGGGGAGGGCCAGACAAGGATGATGTGCATGCACCCGACGTCCTCCTTGTCAACTGATGATGTCATTGGTTGTTAGGATGCAGGCAGCTAGAAAGTTATAAAAATGCACAATGAAAACCTGTGGCTTTGTGCACTAAAAGGCAGAATTGATCCACCTGCTGGCTTGTATACAATTTTTGGGCATTTTGCCAAGGCACCCCTGAAGCAGCACCCCATATTGCCACAGGCAGAAAAAAAGAAAATATTTTTCAGTTTGGCCGGGTTTTCAAAAGCAGTCTACAGTACCTTAGACTTAGTAGATTTTTTTTTTGCAAACTAATTGAGTTTAAGGATTAAAATAATTGAAATTCACTGATTTCAAATGCACAAACCCATGCTGTAAAGAGTGCAGATAGTCCATGCTGCACACCTCAGGTGTCATTTCAAATGGTATTTACAGCTGCTATAGTGTGAAAATACAAAGATAGAAAAGTTTTATGCGTGATAGCATGTGAAAATTTTCACCATTGTGTTAGTTGCACCCCTGATGTGATGTTAACACCCAGTTCTTAACAAGTCTTTAGATGTTAGCACAGTTTTATCTTTTCTCACTATGTGAAGTGTGAATATTGCTTAGGGGAAGTAGGACTTAAAGGAGAATTCTACCTTTTGCAAAAAAAATAAATAAATGCACCCATTTTGCAAAAAGTAATGTGCATTCATTATTTTGCATTTGAGCCTGCAAAGCATTGCAACTGCAAATGGCAGATCACAGGTATAAAGCTCTTGCTCATGCAGACTCTTCCTCCAGCTCCTAATCCATACCTCAGCTATGGAGCTGGAGGAAATGTTAGTGGACTTCAATTGTGGTGACGTCACTGCACTCCATTGAGAAGTACAGTTCCTCTGCGGCAGTAGAAGATGAGTAATTTATTTTTTATTAATAGATTCCTGTGAATGAATGACACAGCTGTTCACAAACTGTGCTAAATTGAAATATGACAGGAGCCAGCAGAGAGAAGAACCCTGTAATCCTGTAAATGGGGACTGGTTTTAGGGTAGAGGCTGCACACTCTGTTTTATGTTACAAGAAGAGTTAGCTTTTAAAAATATATTCTTTAAACATCAGTCTGTTTTATTTTCGAAAAGCAATAGTATCCTCAGATCCTTGAATCTTGTTCTGTTTGGGGCTCGTGTCACGCTTACCTCAATGCAGGTGGCTAAGTACTATAGTTGGCTTCTGTGTTCTTCACCTATAACAACCCCCTTTCTCATAAGGCAAACAGGCCTACCGGTACTCGGTTGCTCCCAGGTCTTATACACAATGCTATAGTGTCTCGCCACTATGGCGGGGCAGGCGTGAACTGAGCACAACAAATAGGTACTTGTGGTTGGCAGACAGGCAAAGTAGTTCAGTGGCAGTCCAGGTACAAGGCAGGCAAGGTTCAGAATAGTCTTGGTCAAATCAGTAGTCAGAGGGCAGGCAGAGTTCAGAGAATAGTCAGTATCCGATCCGAGGTTGTCAACAAAGGAATGCAGACAGCAGAGCAGGACAGATAATCAGGGAGCTTGAGCATATGTAACCAACGCTATCACAAGCATGAGACTGCAGGCTTAGCATAAGAGATGATCATTAATAAATGAGCAACCTTCAGCACTCACACAGAGGATAGAAATAACAATTATAAATAAATTAAATGGTATCAAAAAGTGAACAAAATAAATAAAGTAAAAGAGTAAAATAATTAAAGAACTAAATATAAATAAAACCAGTCCGCGGATGGATGGATGGGGAGCAAATATCCAGGTGAAATTGCTGTGTTCAGAGTGTAGCAATCAGCATGTCCATCTGATGAATATGCAGATAGAAGGACCATAAAGGCTATGGAATACACGAGCGGACCGACAGTTTCTCGTCAAGGACAGGGGGATCCCACAGAGGTATGCAAAAAGAACGACAAGGTCAGTGTAGATAAGAGCAATATTACTTTATTCCAAAGAAAACTTACATCTTAAAATCCCTCAGCAAGTATGGCAGATGAAGGGCACCGGAGCCAGGGACATCAAAGGAGTAGATCCGATGAAATATGCATGGCCCGGTAGGAGACCCCCAGCGATAGATGAATGGCGTCTCTGGATGCCTTCCCGCCAGTAGTAGGGAGAAATGACAGGTACTGTGAATGGAACGGAGGGCAGGCTGCAACGCGTTTCAGAAACCCCGTCTCCTTTGTCCTGAACACAGGGTATATATGAGCTGTCAAATCAAGGAACCAATCAAGGGGAAGTGAAGGGGAGGAGTGTGCAGGAACAGGGACCGCTTGTTTTTTCCGTAGATTACGGGATACAGCAAGGGAGAAAGAGCAGAATACATACACTGGCTGAAATGTCTAGGAGCGATCTGGTTAACCAATTAAAAGTATGCTGAACAAAATAAGAAAAGAGAGAGAAAAAAAGTAGAGCGGATTGGGCTGTGAGTGCAGAAAAGTAGAAACGGGAAAAGAACAAAAAACTAAAAAGAGTAAACTAAAAAGAAAGAAATTAGCGGGTACAGAATATTAAACATAAGGAGAAGGAGAGGGAGAATAGAAAGGTAAACTAAACTAAATAAAGATGAATAAATGAAACAGAAACTGATGAATCAAGAGAAACAGAATACATGCACTGATTGGATGTGTGGGGGCGATCTGAAAGACCAATTTAATAATAATGGTGTGGGGAGGGGGAGTCTGCTGAACGAAAGAAAGGAAAAGAGAATGAAGAGCGGGTTAGGCTGTGCATGCAGAATGACAGAAGCAGGAGAAGAGCAGAGGTCTGAAGAGCAGGTTAGGCTGTGCATGCAGAATGACAGAAGTGGGAGAAGAGCAGAGATCTGAAGAGAAAGGAATTAGCGGGTACTGAATAAACTAAATAGAGAGGGAGAGAAAAAAAAAGGATGTATATATATATATATATATATATAAATTTAAAGGGTGAACTGAAAATGAAAGTGAGATGGATGAAGACAAGGAAACGATTATGTGAAGAGAAGCAAAATACATGTACCAATTGGAATGTCAAGTTATCTACAGGACCAATTAAATGATAATGGTGTGGATAATGGGAAGGGGATATTAACTGAATAAAGGAAGGAAAAAGGGAGAGAAGGAAGAACAGGTAGGGCTGTGGGTACAGAAAAGTAGAAGCAGGAGAAGAACAGAAATCTAAAAGGAAGTAACAAGTGCTGAATAATGAACGGAAGAAGGGGAAAGAGAGAAGAAAGGAAAGAATAAAGAATTGAACTGAAAAATGAAGATAAATTTTTTTATAAAATGAAAAATAAAGATTAAAATTGAATAAAATGGATAAGTTATTCCATGAGTGGAGGAACACGACCAAAAAAAGGGGGAGAGGGGCCATGCAACAATGATCAAATCCACCTAACATGTATAAATTTGTATTAATTATAACAATTATGGGAATAAACAATGATGATAAAAGTATCTGTATACATTATGCAACTAAAAATTATAATAATAGTAATAAACTGTGAAATGTGGAAGATTATAGAACAGACTTTGAATCTAAATAATGATGAATATAAAAAACATGAATGAACCATATGCAGTTATGTAAATAAAAATGTTGCTTAAGAATATATAATATAATCATGATATTCCTTATGATAATGGTATAAAACGGTGATATATAATAATTAGTCATAATAAAAATATATGTGCAGTATGTATAAGAAGAAGGAATATATCTATATAAACAGATATACACGCATATATATATATACACATGTACATGAAAAAAAAGGGGGGGGGGGTAATGGGTTCATAGAGGACACTACATCAGTAGCTAGTAATTAAATGATAGTGTTGATTTCAGGCTCTTCATTCAGCCCTTTAGGTAACAGTGTATTAAGGGTAAAAATCCAAAAAGTCTCTCTAATGCATAATCTATGGAACCTGCCTGCCTAAAAATCACAAGGAGGGATGGATTCAAGAACCCAAACTTTAAGGCTATCAGTTGATTTGTTATGTTGGGTGAGGAAGTGCCGTGGGACACTATGGTCTTCGCTGCCTTCCTCTATGAGACTGCAGGTGGGCAGACAGACAAGAGAGAATGTATGACAACCAAAATCATGAGACCAGCACCTGACAGCTCATATCTGTAGAACATAATATACACGTAGGTTTCCTCTATATCCATAATTATTTTATGTTTTCAGAATTGGGTGAACAATGACATGGTAATATGAAAGTTGGTGGGTTTTCTTTTTACTGTCACATACTGTGTTTTTCTTATATTCTGTGTTTCTTTTTTTCCAACTATGCCAGGTTTTTGAGAAGAAGAACCAGAAATCTGCACAAACAATTGCTCAATTACACAAAAAATTGGAACATTATCATAAGAAACTAAAGGAGATTGAACAAAATGGTATATCACGACAGCCAAAGGATGTCTTGAGGGACATGCAGCAAGGACTAAAAGATGTTGGAGCCAATGTTCGGGCAGGCATTAGTGGCTTTGGTGGAGGAGTAGTTGAAGGTGTTAAGGGAGGGCTTTCTGGCCTGTCGCAGGTCACACATACAGCAGTGGTATCAAAGCCCAGAGAGTTTGCTAGCCTTATTCGCAACAAATTTGGCAGTGCTGACAATATCCCACATCTAAAAGATGGTATAGAAGAAGATAGTGAGACACAAGGAGGTGCAAGAGCACTGAGTGGCAGTGCAACATTGGCACCAAGTCCCAAGTATGGGAGTGATGATGAATGCTCTAGTGCTACCTCTGGCTCAGCTGGAGGAGGAAGTAATTCTGGGGCTGGACCTGCAGGACCTGGTAGCCCAAGATCTAACACTCTAGATGGACATCACCATGGACACCATGGAGGCTTTGATGCCATTCTTGAAGAACTCTGTGAAATCAAGGATGGGCAGAGTCATCTTGAGGATTCAATAGAAGACTTAAAATCACAGCTGCAGCGAGACTACAACTACATGACACAGTGTCTCCAAGAAGAGCGCTACAGGTTAGTGTTGTAAATTAAGCATATATTTTAGTTGGCAATGTATGATTTTCAAAATGTATGAAATTAGATTTTTCAAATACAGTAACATGCCAACTCCCTCTAGTGCATGAAGGCATTTCATTTGATAGGTGTACAAAACTGCCTGCACAAATTATTTTGTACATGTCATAGCAACTAATCAGATTCTAATAGATTTGTAAACCTTGCCCTACGGGGGTGAGCTACACACACACACAAACACAAACACACACACACACACCAATAAATCTCTGCAATAAGTGATCCATTACTGTTGCAGAAGCATATTATCTTTAGTTTTACCCCTGTCTTGTATTACTATCGCACCAACTGTTTATGCAGATAGATGCTTTGCATCTGTTTGCAATTCTATATTTTGTCAGAAGGGGAAATCAAATTGAAATGAAATTGAAGGGGAAGTTTTCACTTACTGCTACAGCCATGTGAAAAATTAAATACACACTTTTAAAAATTGTTGAGGTTTTCAATATATTGGAACAGGCAAACATTAGATCTTCATTTAAATAGTATATTCTGTGTGTAGGTGCGTTACCCTGTTTGTTCATCAAGTGTAAAAATTACTTCACATAAATTCAATATATGTATTCAATATAAAGTGCATCAATTTTTCCAAGATATATATATATATATATATATATATATATATATATATATATAAATATGTCAAAACAGTGCTCAGTTCATATACATCTGAATATCTCCTGTTAAAAAACTTTTCAACATACAAGTGTGGTCCCAGTTATTCCACCATCACAAATAATCAGCCTTTTACTGAACCCGTTGATCTCAACACATAGATCAATGGATGTATGGGGAGCCATCTATTCTGCACATGTGCAGGTCCGTAATGTTGCAGCATGCTAACTCTTGTATGAAAACTGTAATGCTAAATAATTAAAAACTTTATTACAAAAAAGATCACTCTTGTAAACAAAAGTCATTAAAAAAATGACTAAAGGAAACTAAGCTTATCTTATTAGGATTAAATATACATCCATCCTACATGGACACAAAATTTGGCCTAGCTCCATCTAGTGGTCAAATTAAAAACTACTGATGCAAAAAAAAAATTGCCTTCCTATAAAACTACTATTACACAAAATAAACAGGCTCCAAAAAAGCAAAAATTATATGACAAATTTTTTATTAAATATTACATCAGGATGAAAAAAACGCATCCAAACAGATTCTTTATCTATTGTTAATAAAACTGTTAAGGTCCCATTCTATGTTTAGTCTGTAATGGATAATCTGAAAATACAGTTGCTCCCTTTTCAGTAAGGGTTATATTTGTCTATACCGATGAGTGTGAGGGAAGAAGGTTCTCTATGATGATGTAAATATTTGGATAAGCTATGGTCTTTCAGCCCTTTTCTAATATTAGCCATATGTTCATTGATCCTGACTTGCAATGCCTCTGAGGTCCTCCCAATATATTGGAGACGGCACTTGCACCCCAGAAGATGTACAACAAACTTGGAAGAGCAATAAATAAAGTCTTGAATATTATATCTAACCTGTATGGTCTGAGATGCAAATTCTTTAGTTCTCACTGCACTAATACCAAGAGTTCTACACATCCAAGATCTTCGGCATGGATAAAAGCTTTTCATGCCCTCAAACAAAGTAACTTTCGGGGGAGGGTTGACGACATCAGGGGCAATACAGTCCCTCAATGTTTTGGCTTTACGAAAAATCATTTGGGGGTTTTAGAGCAACAATGATCCCAAGACTCTATCATATTCATACCCATAGCATGAGGGAGGACAGATCTGCGAAGACTAGCAGACACTTCCCCACCAACACAATGCAATTCAATTCAATTCAATATTAATTTTGAGTGGTATCCTTCAAAAAGGATGAGTATTTCCCACAAATAGCTGCAAAAAGAAAACATTTTTTCCTGTGCGGGATGTTACTGAGTCAGTCCCACTTATGATGGGACATTCTGGAGGTTTTTTCTAAATTTTTATGTATTTTTGGTAAGCAATACATTATAGGAATCCTTGGAGTGGTAGGAATTAGGTGGTGTCTTTCTTTTTTGTCAAAAATTCCCTTCTTTATATGCTTTCCAACTGTTTTTTGTATAAGTTGATAGGGTCGCTTTTTAGGATTTCATATATGTCCCCGTCATATAAAATGTTTCCAACTTCCATCACATAATCGTTCTTTTTTTAATAATACAATCCTGCCCCCTTTATCTGCAGGATTTAACCACTTGCCTACCAGGCACTTATACCCCCTTCCTTACCAGGCCAATTTTCAGCTTTCAGCGCTGCTGCACTTTGATTGACAATTGCGCGGTCATGCAACATTGTACCCATATGAAATTTTGATCATTTTTTTCTCACAAATAGAGCTTTCTTTTGGTGGTATTTAATCGCCACTGGGCGCTTTACTTTTTCGCTATAAATTAAAAAAGTGCAAAAAATTTGAAAGAAAAAAAAAAGTTTCTTTGTTTCTATTATAAAAATTTTTCAAACAGGTATTTTTTCTCCTTCACTGATGTGCGTTGATGAGGCAGCACTGATGGGCACTGATAGGCGGCACTGATGGGCACTGATAGGCAGCACTAAAGGGCACTGATAGGCAGTACTAATGAGGTGGCACGGATAGGCGGCACTGATAGGCAGCACTAATGAGGTGTCACGGATAGGCGGCACTAATATGCAGCACTGATAGGCGGCACTGATAGGTGACACTGATGATGGGTACTGATAGATGGCACTGACTGGCATCACTGCTGGGCACTGACTGGCGGCACTGACTGGCACAACCGCTGGGCACTGACTGGTGGCACTGACTGGCAGCACTGCTGGGCTGCACTGGTGGGTGGCACTGGTGGGCAGCACTGGTGGGTGGGCACAGGTGGGTGGCACTGGTGGGCACAGGTGGGTGACACTGGTGGGCACAGGTGGGTGGGCACAGGTGGGTGGCACTGCTGGGCACAGGTAGGTGGCACTTCTGGGCACAGGTGTGTGACACTGCAGAGTGGCACAGGTGGGTGCACTGCTGGGCACAGGTGGGCGGAGCTAGTGGGCGCACTGCTGGGCACAGGTGGGCGGAACTTGTGGGTGGCACTGCTGGGCACTGATCATCAGGGCACTGATCATCAGTGGCCCTGATGATCGGTGCCGATCCCCGCTCTGACAACTGCCGGTTCTCGGCAGTACTTTCCTCACAATCTGACAGCGTGAGGAAAGTGCAGCCGAGAACCGGCACTTGCATTTCCCTGTGATCAGCGTGTCATTGGACACCGCTGATCACGTGGTAAAAGGCTGGTATGATCGGCCTTTTACCACATCTCGTGATCAGCTGTGTCCGTAGGACACAGCGATCACGGAGATCGCCGGGTGCGCACCCCCTGGGGCGCGCAGGAGAGCGCGTTCTGGGGGGACGTCATATGACGTCCACCCAGAACTGGCCGGCTGCAGTGAAGCCGTCATTCGGCTATCTGCGGTCGGCAACTAGTTAATCTCTTTTCTAGCACAAATTCGTGAGCACCTTTGTGAATATTCTTATCAGAATAATTTTTATTTTGAGTTCCTCTAGATCCTTAGTAACTAAATCTTTAAAGACTGATGAACTTGAGGGTAATTGTCCAGTGGGGTTGAAGAGGGACTCATTGGACAGTCTTGAGTGTCTAATCCCTCTTCTATTAGAACCTTGTATTTCTCTGCTGATAGGATTACTCAAGAAATACCTTTTAATGTGCAGCTTTCTAATACATTTTTTTATGTCAATAAATGTCTCAGATTTATTTAATCCCCTAGGAAAGGCATGTTTTAAACCTTTCTTCAAAATTCATCTTGGGATAATATGTTGACCCTTTCATCCCCTTCTTCCTCTTTTAGTCTTGCCCTTGTGATCTAATAATGACCAGATTTGTCATCTCTAGAATAAGAATTCCCTGGATGTGGTTTGCTTGAGGTGATTGTAGCCGTATTAGTGCATTTGCGACAGAAACAATTGAGTACTGTCCGTGATACTTTTTTTATTTGCACTTACATACAATTTTGAGGACAAGTTTTCAGGGAATGTCCCCTTCTTCAAGGTCCAAGCAGTACTCAATTGTTTCTGGATGTGGTTTTAAAACTGTTATAGGAATTTCTGGGAGGTGTATAATACTCATATCTCTCCCATTCTCTTTCAGATTCATATGCATTCATCAGCAATGTGAATCTATTATGAACTGAATAGGGTCCCTCCTGTAGGAAGTTCTTACAGGTTCATAATGCTCTTCATTATCCATATGCTAATGTGCAATCTGAGGTCTGTGTCTTGACCCATTTTCAGTAGGGAATTCATTCCTACCAGGGTACGGAGATCTATCCTAATTTTTATTTTTGCCCCAAAAATTTTTGGGGGGATGTTTATACTCTCTTCCACCTCCTTTTCTGAGGGGAGTGAATGGACAGTTTGTAGAATTTTTATATTGAAAAGAAACCTTATTATCCCTGGAGGTTTCCCCACTCCTGTTCTCCATAATAACCTCCTCTAAATTTTATTTCCATTTGAATACCTTTTTAGTCATGTAATCCTCACTATCCCTTTGGTATTATTTCTTTTTATTGTGCCTCTGTTCCTTAAAATCTATTTTAGTTCAATAGAATAAAATTGATAAACATCCTCTTTAGCGTGAAGTGCAAGCTTCTCCTTAATGATATTAATTTCTGTATCTAAAGATACCAATCTTTTCTTTTTTTGTTAACGAAGAACTGCGGAAAATCTATACTAGCGTCATTATTTCACTAAGCACAAAATACCCCCCTTTTCATTTAAATAGTGTATACAGATAAATGTGATATACGTGAACAAACGGAAATTGACATAGGATATTTGCCATTGTTGGTGCCACATGTGGGGAAAGTTGCGCAGTTGGCAGAGTGAATTCATTTGCAGAAGTCCATTTAAGGTCCATCCCAGTACCCAGAGAGGGGATCTCCTGTCTACCCAGGATA